TTTTTTCAACAATTTATAATAGAATAAAATACCATATCAACAATAATAATATGAATAATAATAATACTTCTTTAAATAAATTTTTCGCTGTTCCATTTGTTAACTCGATTTCTGAGAGATTTAAACCTATTGCTAATGTTGTAGATTGTAAACTGGCTTACACTATCCCTAACACACTTAAATACTACATTAAAAGAGATAAAGACAAATTAGCAGGGATGGGAAAGTTACTTTATAAAAGTAATTAATTACAGTTACAGATTTTCTCTTTCAAAAAGTAATTAATTACCGTTACAAGAGTTATTGACTCTGAAAAGTAATTCGTTACAGTTACAGTTACGCAGTAACTTTAAATTACTTTTAAGTTACTTTTTTCATCGGAATTTTTACTAATAGTATCGATACCATTAGGACTGTATTAGAAACGTTATCCAACTGCCTTCATGTATCGTTTTACTCTTGTTTTTCACCTAATATTAAACAAGGATGATACACGGGGTCATCAGTGTAATGCAGCATTGGACAATTAAAAAAAAAGACTGGCTTACATTTACATGCTATACAATTTTATTCAAAAAAGATAAAAAATATTGTATGGCAAAGACGTTTTTCGTTAAAGTAATATAAACACAAATGAATATGAATATGAATATGAAATAGCACACATATACAATGTTTTTTGTAAAAAAAATTCTTTTTTTATTCGGCTAAAAGTTGCAAATAAATTCCAGCACTAATCCAAAATGGTCTACAACCGTTCATTGAGCGCTCTTGCATTTGATTCCATTAGACCCCAAAATATAGACCAAACAGGTACAAGAGTTCATTGAACGCTTTTAATTAAATTGCTTTCATCTGATTAATCAAATGTTTCGAAGTATTTGTAGCGCTAAGTGGACACTACCGTGGACAAATAAGTTTAAAATATATAAAATAACTATGAAAGTAACTATTAAATTAGTTACCAGTTACTTAAAAGATGTAACTAAGTTAAGTTATAATTACAGATGGAAAGAAAGTAACGAAGTTAAGTTACAGTTACTGAAAAAAAGTAACTCTAACTGTAACTTCGTTACAAGTAACGAGTTACTTCCCATCCCTGCAAATTAGAACATACACATAATCAGAATGTAGTGTATAAAATATCTTGTGAGAATTGTGATGTTAGCTATGTAGGCCAGACGAAGAGACAATTGAGAACAAGGGTAAAGGAACATGTCTCAGACATTAATAAAGGTTCAAAATTGCCATCAGTTATTACGAATCATAGAAACAAATCATGATTTCAAATGGAGTAATGTGAAAATATTGGACATAGAACCTTCCTACAGAAAACGATTAATTTCTGAGATGGTCCATATTAAGAAACAAACACACGGTATAAACAGACAAAACGATACGGAGTCATTGCCCGATTCGTATACTAACATGATACTTTCCCTCTCCAGCTCTTAATTTTTCACTGTTCTTGTCCTCTCTCGACTTTCTGCCTGTACATTATGTTGTCTGACGTGTTTAAGAGCGGTTGCTTTCACAGGTGCAAAATCGATTAAATATTATAAAATGTATTCACACAAAAGGATTTTTAATACTTCACTGGTTTTTTATGTTCATCTGACAAGGTAAATTAACTTTCTGTTACATACTGGTTTTTTATATTTATTTGACAAGATAAAATGACTTTCTGTTACACCTTTTGAAGGTTGTTTTATATTTTACATAATTTTTCCTAGATATGTTCGTAGTTACAAGTTAAACATAAGATACACAATCGACCTCCTGGAGGTCGATTCTGTATTTTCAAACAAGGTGAAAATTACAAAAGTGAGCAAATTTACTAGGTGTTGACCAATGAAATTAAGCTGGAAACACAATAGACACAGGCAATAAGCACAGGCAACAGGGAATAACGAGCCGTCCAATCAGAGCTTTGGAGTATAAGTTCGATATTATATCCCAGAGCTCTGATTGGACGGCTCGTTATTCCCTGTTACCTGTGCCTATTGCCTGTGTCTATTGTGTTTCCAGCTTTATCAGTATTCTAGTAAATTCGCTTACTTTTGTAAGGATGCTTACCCATGCAGCGGAATAGCGTAAAGCAGAACGAGAGCAGAACCAATCACAAGCGTTCCGCATCAATTACAGTTGGCGCGGAACGCTTGTGATTGATTCTGTTCTCGTTCCGCGTTACGCTATTCCGCTGCATGGGTAAACATCCTAATTTTCATCTCGTTTCAAGCATAGGCCGGTATTCATAGTCGGTTCTTATTTTAAGACCGTCTTAAGTAATGTCTTAAGTCGCTAATGCGGCCTTCTGATTGGTTCATGACATCTTAAGACTGTACTTAAGACGGTCTTAAATATAAGATCCGACTATGAATACCGGCCATAGAGATAGTAGTACCAGAGTACGCATTGGAAGAGTGGGGGTAATCTACCAAAGGATGCACTCATTTGAGTCCTTCCTTTCTCTCTCGTTTCGCGCATGCGTATAGCACGAAAAGATTATTGACTAAAATCCCTAGAAAGGAGTGTTTCTTTATTGAATATTAAAGTGGTTCTGTTTGCGTTGTTTGCACTTTTTTTTCTCAATATTTGGAATTGAACAAAATTACTAATATGTTTATAAACAATTAACATTTAAATGGAAGGATCAAATGTTATCAAAATTATTATTCTTTGTAACAAAATCTTTTTTAACCATTAGTTTCTTTAATTATATAGGCCCACAAAAAAAGTACCCTGTGTTGGGGTGGAAACCCAGCTACTCTTATATATTTTGAGTCGCTGAGTACGAATCTGACATCAAAATAGGACCATCCAAGGTTAATTTTGATGTCAGATTCGTATTCAGCGACTCAAAATATATAAGAATAGCTGGGTCTCCACTTCAGCAGAGGGTATTTTTTTTTGTAGGCCTATGATTATTAAATTGTTTTTGACAATTTATTTTCCCCTTATTTAGGACAGAAGGAAGTGTGTATATGGGAAAGTAAGTAAAAAATGCAATAGTAGGAATTATACTTTTATTATTTTATTATAAAGGACAATACGTTACACAGACACATTTTTTGGAGGTACTGACGTGCAGTCTTGAAAGATTCTAAATAGATTTTGTACCCCTGATGTACATAGAAGACTATATTTATTCAAAAAGTAAAGATTTATTTATTTGTCATAACAGAGTTTATGATATTTAGATGATATTTAGATGATATTTATGGAATCAAAGAAAAAAAGGCGTGTATTCCCTGAAAGAGCGATCGTATGACTTTTTGTCATGTTTTAGATATTTTTTTATATGTTGACTTGTCATTTCAGACTTTTAATCTAAACGAATTGTTCCACTAAAATTTAATTATTAGTCCATTAAACACTATTAATTTATGTGGAAGATTTAAAATAAAGTTAAAAAAAAACATTCTTTAGATATAACGGCTAAGCGCAGATAATGTCGAGTAGAAAAATGTCGGAAGCTCAGAAAAGGAGAATTAGGACATTCGCTACTTTGTTAAATTTAATATAATATGCATTTTCGATTAATAGTTATGTGCATAGCAAAATTAAATGAAACACTAGGTATGATAATTTAAAAGCTAAAATATTATCGTCAACTCCACGCACAACACATATACCTATAATATTATCTATTGCCAGTCATTGGAATGCTTACATTACAAGCTAGTAATGAAAATGATGATTCATTTTTGTTTTAATTTTTTTAAAATGAAAATAGTAAAATGGATTTCACTGATTTCACATGAAACTGTGTTAATATATTATATCATTTCATTATATTTGTTCCAGATCTATCAGTTATTATGTTTACTCTTTCCTGATTGTTAGAATTGATTTATTACATTGTAATGTTTCTCGATAAAACGTTTAATAGCATTAATTAGTCTTGTAACGTGTTAATCACGAAATGTTTATATAAATATATTTTGAATAGTCTTCACAGATATTTTATATCTGCAAGGCATTTTACGGAGAAAGCAAAAAAGTCATGTATTTCGAAAAATATTAGCAATAGAAAAAAAGTTAGAGATTAAAACCTTTTGGTCCCGTAGTCGCTATTACATAGACAAAAACCAATTTAATTATCTTCAATGGCAAAGAAACGTGTATAAATTTAGAGAGTATTCTTTTGAATTTAATAAGAGATTTTTTACAAAAATATTATGATACATTTCTTAAAATAACCTCTTACTTTATGTAAAGACAGGGATAATTATGCTTTGCATGTTTTAAAATAAAAAATCATGTTTAGTTTTTAGAGAGACTTTCTGAGAAATATCTTATAGAATTTATAAATGTTTTTAAATTATTAATTAAAGGATAATTTCTTTTTATTTATTGCAACAGGAATATTGTTGTAGTTCTTTTTTGTATAGAAATTTTTTTGATACTTTTATTGCTTATCAGAAGAATTGTGTGAATGCGTTAATTAACATGAAACAGGGCAATCTAGGAAATAGACATTACAATGAGGATTACTATCACGAAAAGAATGTACTGTGGAAATGTAATATAATTAAGTTGTTTTTTTAAAAAACCGGATTGATAGACCTTTCATCTAGAGTTTTTAATAAAATGCAACCAATTAAAATATTGCCTTTTCCTCTAACCCTTTTTCTATCTTTAAGGCTATTTAATATACATGACTAGTTTGTTTTGCAAAACTATTTGTATATGTACATTTATGAAGAAGACACAATGAAGTCTACAGTATATACATTTCATAAAGAAAATTCTTGTTTGAAAGAAAGATGGATGTAGCATGTAATCCACAAACGAGACACACACACACACACACACACGACGCGCGCGCGCTGTCTTTTCTATCGAACAGTTCCATCAAATAGTCGTACTATCTAATTTGTCACGGATATCCAATTTACACGATTAGCTTTAAACGTGCACCAACGGTATTAGAAAGAGTTAGATAAAGAATCATGTACTAGCGATTGTTATTTATAATTTCATATCAATTGTTTTTACGTTATAATTTTATCGTTAATATCGTTAATAATAATTTGACAAAGATTGTTAATCAGTATAATAGCATTAATCTATTGTCGATGTAGCCAATGTTTAGATGAGAAATTACGAGAGATTGCGCGTGTTTTAAAATTGCACATGTAAGAGGATATTTTTCCTGGAAGATCTTTCTAACACAAATAGAAGATTTATAAGTTCGGTCTCTTGCGGCGCATTGTGCCCAGAGCTGACCAAGTCGTAATCGTAGCCGGATTTTACCCCACGCTGCTTTTTATGAACTTTTCTTCAAGAGCTCGCGTGGGGTGACTGAATAGAATATATATATCTATATATCCGCAAGGTATTAATTTGCTCGTTAGTACGATTATGCGAGCGAAAGTCCAACAATTTATTTTAATCGTGATGATATGAAAGCAGCTGTTACGAAAAATCCTGTTAAGTACATGCTTCCTATACATATTTCGTGATCTATATTCATTCGCGGAGTTGTTGTTACATCGCTAACGATGTTTCTCCTTTCTGCCCCGTCTTGGTGATGATAAATCGTAGTCTTGGAGTATATTGGAGCACTGTATTCGAGATGATTTCTCTTGATATTTTTCAGGCGCGATGAGTTCAAGTCGCACGGAACGATGTTTTTCAGTTTTTTGAAAGTTAATTTTTCGGATCACGTTTGATTTACTCACGCATCACGGAATCGAATCGCTCGTTCTCGACGTGGCCCCCCCGTTCGGGCCGTTGTGTGTCGTCACATACCGCTGCTAGGGAGACCACTTCCGGGCGGGCATATGCCACCGTCGCTGCTCTGACTGACGCTACTATAGCTCACATTACTCGCTTGTCCTCCCGTTGCCATTCCGGAGATATACTGAAACAAAAGAATTGCAATTAACGTTTTTATCACGTTAATTGTTTGCTATATTTTAAGAATGATTCACCGCGACAAGAGCCGAAGTATTACCAATTAACAGTTAGGTTTTACATATTTTATAATATATAAACTTGTTATATTTTCTCCTTTACTTCTCTAGAAACATACATACATACATACATGTATCTTTCGATTGGGACAGAAATAGATTTTCGATAACTAACAAAGCAGTGAATTTACACAGATAGAATTTTTTGCATTCGGCTGTTTCGACTGTTCGTGCTTTATCATTACAATGTACTCTATATTCCAATAACACACATTTTTTGTCTTTTACTCTTAAAAATTAACGTGTCCGCCATTCGCGAGTGCTTAGTGCGTGAGAAATAAAAAGCTATGGATTATCATTGACAGTCGACATTTATGGTAGTACAAATTTGTAATAATTTAATTTGTGAGACGACTCGACAAATCCAGATATGTCTCACAATAAATCTCACCGTTCCATTCTACTTTTATCTTCAATAAGGAGTAGGAGTTTTCAATTTATAACCGTTAAGTTTGTATTATATTTTCTTGCAGATTCTGCGTTTGTTTTCTATGGAAACCGAACACTTTAATTTATTCGACGGGACGACCAGCTCTCCTGTCGTCGTCCTAGGGACAATCGATCCATCGGCTTCGCCTCAAACGCAACCAATCTCTCCGCGCTCGTTGCTTCCCTTTAAAGGTCGCCACGGATCAGCGACAAGCTTTACACTTCACGCTCATACCCCGTATACACATGGCTTTGCGCCGAATCGTGCGAATAGTGCGGTCGAAGAGACAACCCCAGCTGAATAGGGAGAGGGTCTAAGTGGTTAAACGGTTTTTCGATAGCTCTTGGCCGTAAAGCAAATCATTCAATATTCGGTCAGCCGTGAAAAAAATGCCACCGCAAATGCGGACGAGTCGAGTTTCAAATTTATAGTTTACCGACAAAGTGAATAAAATGGTCAAAATGGATGGACGTTATACCCTAACATTCGTGTTTATATATTTCCAGACTGCTCGCCTTTAAATAATAAGATAAGTAACGCAATTTTGATGGTAATCGATATTTTCGCGAATGTTATCGATATTGCTAAAAATAATTTGTTAAAAAGACTTTATTGTATATTTCGTGCTAATTTGAGAAAAAAATTTATAGATTTAGGTGTTACGTATATCTATATATATTATATAATAAAGAATAATTCACAAAGAAAGTATAGTTTCATGTGTTTGCTTTAACATTTTTGTCCTGTCTCATCCTGCCACATGGGATAGTGACCGTATCAGAGTTTTCTCGTTTGTTCTATCGGGTGTTGAATTCCCCAAGGTCAGATGATGCTCCTTATTTTTGTCTTCTCCCACTTTTATCCAATATATCCCGTGTGTCCGCGACTCTCCTTCTGGTAACGCGACCGCGAAACTAAAAGTATCTATGTAGGTTATTGGAGATAGCACGAGGTCGCACGTTTATTTTAGATTTTTCAAACGCGGATATATATCAATTTTACTTTATATCCACGATATAATATCTTGTCTTTTGGTATGTGTAATTACGCGAGTACTGGATGATTTATGATCGCCACACGTTTATCACCGTCATCAATTCCTTATACTCTCGTATACGTTGCATAAATGTAACTTCTGATAATCAAAATATTCTATAAAGATATTTAAAATTTTTAATTATTTGTTTGCATTTTAGTTGTTTTTTTTATCGTATGTAGAAATATGAAAATTAGGTGCTCAAGTAAGTAGTTTGAATGAAAAGTTGAACGTTTTATAGAATTACGAGCGTTTCTAATATCTGCACTTAAATTCTTTATGTCATCAAACTTTTACAGCACGCTTCATGGTCCTTGATCACAAGCGAATTTTCAGAGGTAATTTGTTCGAAATATAAATATATGAAATCTTGCACGAAATATCTACGAGATTTCATGTAACGAAATAGATAAAATAATTTTTGGGTTCGTCGGCTTTCATATCACAGGGAAACCTTACAAAACCGAAAGGAAAATAAATATGCGCGTATATTTTGTTTTTCATTAAAATTCCGATTTGTTATTCAAACTATATTTTGCTGCTAGTTGAAAGTTATGAAATTTGCGACTGTTTGCGTGTTTGCAGTTATTTTTGTTTACAAAAGTTTGGAAAATCTTTCATATTCGCGACAGCAATATTAAATAAAATTACAAGATGCCCGACGCATTGACACACATATAGTTCTATTATTATAATTGTTAATGCTCGTATCAGACTAGAGTTTTGATTGATCAAATTCAATCTTAATCTCAATCTCAATCTCTAATTTGATATGGGTATTAACACATGTGTGTTTTGTTATGATCGTATTATAATATTATTCGGAAGAAATAGCTAGTCTGTAAACCGAAATTAAAAATACGAGACATCACCTTTCACAAGAAAACTACCAGAAGTGAATACCCGAGGACGAGGAAAGTATCTATAGATCAAGAAAGTGCATCCTTAGATAATGAATAGTGCCATGTGCAGGTGCAAGTATTTAAAATCAAATGTCACATTTACTAGTAAAAACATACCGAGAATTTATATTCTTAAGAATACGTTGATGTTCGTTGATGCTCGTTGATCTTTGATATATAAGGGTTTTGGAAAACGGACAGAGGATCGTGATTACTTGGAATTACCAATAGTTAAACTATATACTGCTTTGTCTATATTGCATTAAGGACGAAGGATAAGCGATAAACAGAAATAAAGAAAAGGTCTCGAGGGATTCCACACGATCAGCGATCGATGACCAGCTCGCGATGATATTCCGTTGTTAAATGTAGGTTTGCTCGCCGGAATTTTCTCGACTTCCCCGTACGTGATGAAGGGAATACGCGGAGTAGTATCGTCCGGATGTGAATTTCTGAAAAAAGCAATATACTGGATACGTTCCCTAGTAGTTAGCATTAATAGTACCCTGTAGTCGGAATTGTTAATAAGATTGTGACGTGTGATGCCTCGCTCCTTTCAGCATTCCTATTGACGCTTATTTATCGAAAGTGTAAAATATACATTTCTATTATATTATTACGTCAGCACATATTAAACAGAATATAGGTGACGCGTATCTTAAACATTTTAATACGAAATTACTAATAAATATCATGCGGTAGTTATATTATACAAAACTATATAGAGAGGGAATGATTTGTTAACAATATAATTCACCGCACTTTTTACTGTGAAATTGCAAGTACGTGCTATTTAACAGCTATGTTGTAATATCTATTACTATTAACTTGGAAATTGTTTATTTCTCTTTTTCGAATTTTTATCTTTCCTTAGTAAACTAATTTGAACAATGCACTAACATAATTTTTAATATTTGATGTGCACATTCCTTTAATTGGTTTAATACTTAATTAAGTCATAGTAAGGGTTTCATGCGTATAATTAGTTGCATTTCTTCTAAAAATGTAGAATTTCCTCGATATTTCTTGATACAAATTGTAAAATATTCAATTACATTATACTTTTCGTTTGAATCAAAATGCCTGTTCCGATTTTTTCAGTGCACATTTTTGTTTTTATTTGTAAATAAAATGCCTTTATAATTTAAATTGTTTATGCAAGGGTAATTAATGAGGGGCATTAACACTAGAAGACGTGTATGAATTTAGGCAAGATTGTTCTAGCAGTAAATAGAAATGGATCCAGATTAACAATTAATTTTGGGGCTATGCTATTCAACATTCTAATGTTACTTTAAATTAATATTCATTCAAAAAGCAATAAATGTGTATATATAACATAATTTAAACTCACCTGACTTGGTTTACATCTAAATGCTGGCTGATATCGCCGTTTCATTTTTCTGGGACAACAATAGCACAGAATTCTTACGAAAGCTCTGAAACAAAAAATATGATATGTCTTACAACGTCAATTAAATTGCGAACGGTGTAATGATATTATGATATAAAATATTTATTTGTATGATTTTTATATTTCTTTGTATAGCCATGAATCATCCTGCATCCTGCAAATTAATATCTTAATCAAATTTGCACTATACGCCGCGGCGACGTAGATAAGTGCTACGTTATGCAATGTCACGACGCAATGTCGTGACGCCAAATGTGGCTTTTAACATCAAGATTGCATGACTGCTTTTTTCAAGTATCGTGTATACGAATATTTGCATAAAGACCATCGATGAAAATGTAACACGTGTGATCGATGCTCGTATATGCATTGCATCATTTCGATATGGTAGTTTAAAAGAATTCAAAACCTTTTTTAACCTATTTATTAAAGAATTTTTTAATACCTGATTTTAGATAAAGAGTCTCGTTGTTAATAATTCAATTTTTAATTATTTTAAAAAACCATACACAAATACATATCATTTTTGTATATATGCACGCGCACATATGTATAATGTATCGATGGTATAATGGATAAGTAGTCCACGTCGCGCTAAATGGACGATAAACAGATTATCTTTCTAATGATTGCACGAACGTGGTATTACGTGATATTTGCATTCTTTGCTCCATCTATGGTATTACGTTTTCGCGAACTGAGTATCCGAGTAGTACATTACTCGGCATCGGTGCATCGTTATATTTCGAAGTAGTTGTTGATGCAATACGTGTAACGACTAATTGTAAGTGCAATAGTCCAGACAACATGGATAATACTAAATTTGACTTTCATCGGCTGCAAGATAATTCACGTTGCGTATTTTTTATCACACTAATGTTCATTACTTTCGTTACGACGGTATCGTCACAACGTACAACCGATCGATCTATTATTTCGAAGAATTTTACGGAACGCCAAAATCAATGTGACAAAGCATTAAATTATTTAATACCTTGTACAGCGACATTTATCGAAGAATATTTCGAACATCCGGAACAAATCTCATTGTTACTACCTGATGTGCTACAAGACGTTTCCAATGTCATAGAACCGTTGATGAACGAATTACATGTGACAAGCGTTACTTACGCATTAAACGTCAGTCTGATGAATGAAATAGAAACATACGATGTTTTGACAAATGTTGTTATTCTGTTAGAGAACGGAATCGCTTTCGAAACGAACGATTCCTCCTTTGTCAATGATTGTGAGTACAATTGCGATTTTATAGTAGTGCTAACGAATCTGTTCGCCGATGAAGAAAGCTTCCTGATAGAAGCTGGTACGCTAGTACAACAAATGTCACTGCGATCGATTTTTAAGCTCCAGATATTGGCGTCAGTCGGAGATTCGGTTCTGCGCGCCAGTAGCCTTTCGGTTCGGACCAACGATTCGTACGCACTTGCCGAACCAGCACTTTCAGGCAGATGTGAACAGGAAGCTTATATTGCAATTCGATGGCAAAATTTCACAAATAAAACAGAAGCATTATTCGGTGCTAATACCGTGAATGCGGCAATGTTCGATAATTTTCCATTCACATTTCTCGAAAACGACACTAACCATTTGAGATTCGGTGGAGTAGAAGGCTCAATAGTGGAAGAAATTGCAAGTAACTTGAACATCAAGCTGAACAGAGAGTCGATTGAATCGGCACGTGAGATTCCGATGAATGCAGATATATATCTGAGACTTCATAATGCGACTAACGATTTAGTGTTTGGTGGTATCTTGTGGAATTCAAGCCGACAAATGACATATACTACTTGTTATGGTATGGTGCAAATTTCGTGGATGATACCGATGGAAACAAATGTTTCTCTACGTGGCTTGATAGCTCCGTTCAACAAGACTATTTGGTGGGCTGTATTTTGCGTTCTAATTATTGGTGGACTCGTAAGACTATTTTTTATTCGTGAAATTACATTTTTGGATATTACAGCATTGATTTTCGGTATACCAGTGTCTCAGCCGAAAAGAACCTCCAGCAGAATTCAATTTTTATCTTGGACTTTGTTTGGTTTTTTTCTTACGCAACTATATCTAGGATCGTTAGCTGATTATCTAATTAGTACATCGGATATGCAGATAGAGACTATGGAGGAGATAGCTAAGTCAGGATTAACGACAGGTGGGACTCAGCAATTCGCGAATTTGTTACAAACGCCTGATAACGATGACATGGGAGATAACGTTGAACGAATAATTCGTAAGAATTTTTGTCTTTTGAACCATCACGAATATATTAATCAGTTCGTGGACATTGTGAAGGGAAGAAATGATAGTTTAGCTCTTCTCGTAATGTTGAACTTGACAAATCATCACCGCGGTTCTAATATAGGATACGGTCACATTATAAAAGAAACTGTGGGCAGTTATCCATTGGCCTTCGTCACCCGGCAAGGTTTTCCATACTTGAAAGAATTTAATTTCAGGATCCAAATACTCATTCAAGTTGGTCTTGTGGAACATTGGTCAGACATGGCAACATTGCAACAAAGTTATTCCAACAAGGAAATGGAAAACAATTCCAAACTTGATATCGACGATATCGCACCGGCCTTCTTCCTTTTGATCATGGGATATCTTGGTGGATTCTGCCTGCTGATTATAGAAGTTGTTTTTTATCCATCCAAATTGTTGTCATAAATTCATTTTCTAACGCTTTTATATAAATAGATAACTTGTTTGAATTATATCTTGCGATTATTGTACACTTTTAATTCTAAACACATGAATATATCTTATTAATTGTTGCATATGAGTCTCTTCTTTATCCAACGTTTCAGTAAATTCGTACGATGCTATGCCATTCTTTCAATTTTGATGGAATACCGGAACATCATAATTTATTGTTTATTATATGACGTGTAGCGAGCCTGGAAAATGCAATTCGAGAACATATATGCTCGAAATACACTTTTCAAGTCATCTTATTAAAAAATAAAACTTCCAGTAAAAAAGTTTAAGCTTGCATTTTTTATATTTACTCTTTTGCGTTTACTACATTTTAGATAATATTATGACGTTTAATATATTTGTAGAATATCACAAGTCCGCTATATCTCTTTTATTTATCTATTTTTTTAAACCAGACGTTTTATGAAAGGTTCATATACGTATGGCTTTGAAACATGCCATACGTATTATAATAAGACTATCTCGGTTGAACGAAATATGAGAGAAGTAATGTATAATTTTATTTATCCATACATGATTTCGTAATAAATATTTTATTTTAATTGCGCATTATGAGACGATATTGCTAATGTTTGATAGTTTTAAGAATAATATTTTTATCACGTATTCGTTGAAATTTCTTCTTGGTTATACGATAACTATCCTGGCTCATTAACTGTTCATAATAAGTCTATCGAGATTCCGTGGAATATTTAACTACGTCTCCTAGATAAAATAACCCCGCGGCGAGTTAATTAGAAAAGTTCCCGGCTAATTTCATTAAACCTCTCTCTGTTTATTTTGTTGAAGGAGTAAAACTTAAAAAGCAAAATGTCGATTTTAAAATTTACGTAATAACATTATTAGCTGTGATTTATTAAATTGGTGTAAACAATTTTCATTTTATTGAATAAAGTTTGTAATAGTTACAATAAAGTCGAAATGAAATTATTACCAATAACTTCATGTGTAGCAATGATAGTTTTGGTAAAAAAAATATTATTTTTACTATTTTAAGCTTCTTATTGTTTATAAACGTTATGTATTAAACAGTTACTTAATTCATGGCCTATTATATGTACATATGAAGTACAATATTTAAATACGCTTTTTTATAAGTATTTATGTTTCGAAAAATTAAAAAATATTATTTTTTACTTTACTATTCCGTGTCGAATTTCGTATTTGATTAAATGTGATATCGCTTATCCAATCCTGCATACGATTGATCGTTATTGGATACTTCGACAGAATTTACCTTTAAAGAATACGTTTTTTAAATGAAAATATTATAGATGCAATATTAACATTATTGCATTCCAAAATTTTAGTATTATGTATTTTTACAGTGGTAATGTTATAGAAATGTTAATGCTTTCATATCAGTCCGATTAAAAATTAATTATACGTTTAAATAACATTATTTAAAAATAAATTTTGTGTTGCTTTTCTTATACAGGGTGTCTCGAAAGTTTTTGCCAATCACTTTTATTAATAGTTAACAAGATATTAATTACTAAAAATTGCAAAATATTGGTCTTGAATAATTTTTTACTCAAATACTATCAACTTTTTAGAAAAGCTGCAAGAGACAAAAATCATTTATTTTCTTTTCATAAAGTTCTGAGAATTTTTTCAGAATTTTTTAATACCGTATTTTCTCATGTTGGTAATAATAAGAAAATGCAGTATTGAAAAGTTGAATTCTGAAAATTCTCAGAACTTTATGAAAAGAAAATTAATGATTTTTGTCTCTTGCAGTTTTTCTGTAAAGTTGATAGTATTTGAGTAAAAAATTATTTAAGACCAATATTTTGCAATTTTTAGTAATTAATATCTTGTTAACTATTGCGAAAATTGCAAAATGATAGAGGACTTTTCGACTTAGTTTAGTCCGTTCTATCTACATAAAAGCGATTGGCAAAAACTTTCGGGACACCCTGTATATAAAATTTCAATTTTGATCGCAATTTTCTATTATTGGCATGGGAATAAGTTTCCGTCCATTAGAGAGATGTCGTTAGTAGCACTGTTTGTGTGTTTGATAAAACGGCAATACATGTATTTGAAAGGTGTGTTCAAGCTTTTGAGCCCAATAGTTGATATTCGTTCGAAGCGATTTGTTTGAACTAAGCTTTGAAACAAAAACAATAGGAATGGGACAATAGGCACGATAAGTTGATTCTGCTACGTGACAACGCTATGTCACAAGTTGCAAAATCGTCAAGAAATACTTGGAAGGAGTGAAGTGGGAAATTCTGCCCCACCCGCCGTATTCACCAGACATTGCTCCTTCAGATTTCC